TGTTAAAAATTGCTTGGAGAGCTTGGTTCCGCAGGTTTCTAGAAAACTTGTCCTTTTTGTCCATTACTTCTCTAGCGTTGGGGAGGCAATACTCAGCTTTCTCTGGGGCTACCAAGGCAGCAGGGATAAAAATAGGGCAAACTTTAAGAATCCCAGATATTTTCAGATAACAAAGACTGACTTATGTGGCCCCATTTTGTGCTCTGACAAAACATAGAGAAGCCTTTGTGCTGGGATTAGCAAGGGCGCTGATGTCAGTCCTCTTGTCGAGCATCACGCTTTATTCTGCAGCTAAATTGTGCTTTGTGCCGTAATCCAGAGAACCTTTGTAGCTGCCTTATTAAAGTGTATAGTTTATGTAATCGCTTTTGTTTTCCAGCCTAATCTGTGCCAGATTCAATGAGGGTGACTCATTTTGTGACTGAGGCAAACATTCGCATTTGGACCCTGTTAAAAATAAATAAATAAGTGGCAGGTGCTGCTCGGCTAAAATGCCATGTTTTCATGCCATCATTTCCAGCTGTGAAGGGTGCTTCTCATACAATGTCCAGTCAGACCTCTGGAGTCACCATCCCATTCTGCCTAGTGCACCTCGATTCGTTGCTGCTCATTTCTTGGCTGTTGATTTTAGTTTCGGAGGGCCTTTTAAATTTTAACAACATCGTTTCAACAGGGAAGCAGTGGCGTGGATGGGGAAGCCATGTCTAACCGGAAGGCAAAAGAGTGACACATGAGCTATAGCGAAAGGACACGTTTCGTTCTTTTCCCCTTTTGTCACTTTCCCAAAGGGGTTTTTCGCATGTGCTTTGCTAAACTGTCTAAGGTATGTTTACTTTATTATGAATACATTCAGTTCAGCAGCTCTTTTTCTCAAGTGGGAGAGGTTGTGAAAGGACACCTTTCTATTCGATGTGTCCCATGTAGCTAATCTAACGTTCTCAAAAATTTTACAGCATTACAGTCAGGGGAATTCTGTTTGTTGCAGAGGTATTCCTAGGCATCAGGCCCTGTGCTATGCACTGAGCTTGTAATGGCAAATAAAGCAGATGTGGTCACCATCTCTGTGTACTTTACAGTCTGCTTAGGCAGTTAGATACTAAATAAATGAATACAAAGAAAAACTGAAATGCAGAATTATAGAAAGTCACTACACAGGTAAGTAACAGAGTGCCTTACCCTGTACGCTGCTTTCCGCTGGGAGGGGTGGGTTGCGGTGGGAGGGGAAGGGAAGGCCTGAAGGTCCGTGTTGGCCTGGCAGAGGCAGGGGAAGGACCTGCTGGGCTGAGGAAAGAGCGCGTGCAAGGGCCTTGCGGCAGGAGACGGTTTGGCATCCTACAAACCAGAGTGTTAGAAGGGAGCAGTGACAGTGGACAAAAATGGTTGCATGTGGACTCTGGCAGCCCAGCAGCGAGGCTCCGTTCCGTATCGGGGCCAGTGGCCCTCGTGCCGCCCGCGCTCTGACAGCGCCTCTGGAGTGCAGCTCTAGGGACTGATGCCCTAATACCTAGTCCGAGTCATGGGCAGTGATGGGTCATGCTCAGTGAATCATGTAGGAAAGCATCTTAGAAAGATTTTCAGGTGAGACGTTAAGGTTTTAAAAAGTCATTTCTCTATTTAAAGACGGAACCTTCATTTTCTGGAGAAATCACTTCCGAAAAGCTCTGATTCCTTGATGGCCCTGGATCAGTAACATGATACTGCTATATGATCTTTTCTGTTTACTTCCCTATTACTCTTTCAAGCTTAGCGCTTGATAGGGGGGTGTCCATAAAGCCTTAATTTTACTAAGAGATGATATTTATTTTGAAGTAATGGATTTTTATAAGCCAGAAGCCAGGGCTAAATTCATGTGAATTTGACACTTTGTGACTTTTCGGTATTATCTAAAGCATCTGCAGAACTTGCCTTCTTCTGAACACCAGTCTTATGCTTTCACTTTGGAGCTGCAGTCAGGCCAAGAAGTAGATTTAAAATCTTGATATTAACAAACTACACAATATTTTTAGGACTTCCTGACTCCCCTACTAATCTTCTTGTTAAAAGGTCGCATAAGTTTTTCCATATAGGAATGCCTGTCCATTTAGCAAATGTTCTGCAGATATCTTGTCAGGATTGCTATATTCTCAGATATTTTTGTGTGTGGTAAGGTATTTTCTTCATAATCAGTAAACTCCTTGAGAGTAGGAATCATGCAGCATCTACTTATATTTCTTTCCACATGTACCTCGTACAGTATTTGCAATGTAATCAACAACCTACTAACTGGTAAATTCATTGATTTCTTAATGTATTTAACTTGTCTCGAATGGATATAATTTAAAGAATCTATTGTAATACTACCCCTAAAGTTATCACCCAAGTTAACTCAGTTATTGGTACAGTTGTCCAAGACATTAAAGACCGAATGAGCCGGTTCATGGACCGTGCAGGCCATTTAGTTTTCATTTTTTCTGTCTGTCTCAAACCATTATCAGTAGCTTCCGAACAGCTCTGGTGGCGAGCTACAAGTCAGAACTGATTCATGTCAGAACTTGTAAAATTTGGTGAAGGTGGGACTAAGACCAAATATCTGTTGGAGAAGTGTATGAGGGTTTTAGTTAATTTTCTTTTCTATTCCCCTGTATCTTTCAGGATAAAATGAAGAGTTTTTATTTGATGCCTTTTCTGTTCCATATGCCAAGTTTTGTAAAACATAAAAATGTAGAGACCCTATTGTGTCATATTAGGATCGTTTTTGGTCCAGACTGATATATGTTAAGGAAGAAATAAAAATAATGTTTTGGGGAAATTGACCTATGTTATGGTAGCAACGTCGGGAGCATTCTTTGTCTAAGCGGACTATATGTCCAGCAGTAAACTTGTTTCTGCTCTGAATAAAATTCCTGAAAATGCCGTAAGCACAGGGCTGTCATTACTCCACATCATTACCAGAAGACGCATACTATGTCAGGTTATTTTTTTTGCAAAAACAAAGGATCAAGGTGTTGTGACTAGTGCTACTTAGGGTCTCCAAATGAACAGAAATGTACAGCGGCCGTTAAAGACATTTTATTTCAAAACAAAAGCAAACAAAAACAACCCAGGAAATTTTATCTCATTGGGGTTCGTACACTGTCCTGTTCCTCAGTCCTTCCACTTCCTGGAGTGACCCGCTGCGCCATCTCGCCTCGCAGGTCCAGTCTGCAGCAGAGAATGTCTTCGCAGGTGCCTGGGCCTCGCCCGGCGGCCTCTGCAGTCTAACTGTGAACTGAGGCAGGCGGCCGAAGGGGAGTAAGTCTTAATTGTGGGTCTGGGCAGAGCTGTTAGGGTTAAAGACTGCTGAAGCTGACTGCCCCAGTCGTTTGCTTCTCATTTTATTATTTGATCAATGTAGATGTTATGGAGTGTAATTAATAGTGAAAGAATGTTAGGCTTCTTTAGCCATAGTAAGAAACTCAAAATTTTCCAAAACTTGTGGAGAGAGTACATGGCTGAGTACAGAACCCCACTGCCAATATGTGTTTGCTGGGACGAGGGAGGGAAAGACTAAAAAAACAAAAAAAGTTGTACCCCATGTTCAGGAATTCAGCTCTTACCCATGTGGTCTGAACAGCAGTGTGGCCAAAAGGGAGACAGTCCATGTCTTTGACGCTTTCCAGGCGAGAAACCAGGGAAGCTTCTGCATCCATGTGCATCCTCCCTCCTCACCCCCACACAACGAGAGAGGCCAGGTGTGGGGGGCGAGGCGGAGAGAGAGGGGGAGGGAGGGGGGGAGAGAGAGAGACCTATATAGTCTGGAAAGTGAAGGACTGTTTTGAAGAAGCACCTTAATGTGTATTCTTTATGGCCTGAAAAAACATTGCTGTTTAAAAAAAAGTTTGTTAAGAGATACATAACAACACTCACCATTTTCACCAAATTTAAGCGTGCGGTTCGGCGGCGTTAAGTGCGTGCGCACTGATGCGCAGCCATCCCTACGCCCGTCTCCGGAGCCGTTTCTCCTTCCCTAGCGGCAACTCTGCCCGTTAAACACGGACAGCCCTCCTCCTCTTTTTGTCTTTCTGTGACTGACTTATTTCACTTAGCAGAACATCTCGGGGTTCATCCATGTTATAGCAGGGTCAGAATTTTCTTTACTTTTAAGGCTGAATAATATTTTATATATGTGTGTGTGTGTGTGTATATACACACACACACACATATGATGCGAAAGGCAACTCATCGACGTATAAGTAAACATAGTTCAGTTTACTTATATTTTCTTTTGTTGCCTGTGGTCTTGGTGTCATACTCAAAAAAATCATTGCCAAATCTAATGTCATGAAGCTTTTCCCCATGTTTCTTCTAAGAGTTTTACCGTTTAGCTCTTAGATTTACCGTCTTTGATCCATTTTGAGTTAATTTTTATATGATGTAATGTTAGAGTCTAACTTCATTATTCTGCATGTGGATATCAAGTTTTTCTAGCATTGTTTGTTGAAAATGTTGCTTTTTTAGTTAGCAAAAACTAAATCTTCTGCCCCGGCTGGTCTGGGTCCGTGGATTGAGCACTGGCCTGCCAACCACAAGGTCGCTGGGTCAATTCCTAGTCAGGGCACATGCCTGGGTTGCAGGCCAGGTCCCTGGTTGGGGGTGTATACTAAAGGCAACTGATTGATGATTCTCTCCCTCTCTTTCTCCCTCCCTCTCCTCCCTCTAAAAATAAATAAATAAAATCTTTAAAAAAAAAAATCTTCCTTGTTTTGTTGACTTGCTATTACATATTGGTGTAATATCTTCTAATATCAATTAATATCATCTAATATTCTATTAGAAGTAGAATATAATAAATGTGTATATACACACATTATTAAGTTAATTGGGGCATCAGTAAACTTGGCTGAAGTGGTAGATAATTCTGTGAAAACAAAGGAAATACTATCTCTAGATAATGCATCTGTAAAATTGCTTTGATAAATGTGCTTCATCTTAAAAAAAAATTTCTCAAATTAACATGAGATGGTTTTTTTTTTTGTTTCTAGGCATGGAAAAGGAGATGGTTTGTGCTACGCAGTGGCCGTTTAACTGGAGACCCCGATGTCTTGGAATATTACAAAAATGATCATGCCAAGAAACCTATCCGTATCATTGATTTAAATTTATGTCAGCAAGTTGACGCTGGATTGACATTTAACAAAAAGGAGTTTGAAAACAGCTACATTTTTGATATCAACACCATTGACCGAATTTTCTACTTGGTAGCAGACAGTGAGGAAGAAATGAATAAGTGGGTTCGTTGTATTTGTGACATCTGTGGGTTTAACCCTACAGAAGAAGGTGAGTTCACGATTTTGTTGTTTGACCTTTCACTTTTATTACTACATTTTTAGAACTGTTAATAAAATTCTTTTTATATTTCTATGTTTCAGTTACAAAATATAACTTTGGGGAATTTTTATAATAGTAACATTTGGAAAAAGCAACTGAACCCTTTAGTCCTTTTCGACAGAGACCTTGTATAGGTTTTAGAAAGAGAAATTTAACCATTGTGAAGGCATTGTCTAAATATTGCAATAAATGTCCTGAAGAAGAAGATGACAAGAAGACATGCTATTTAATAGCCTTTCTTGAGTTCCTATAGAAATAGTAAGTTGAACCTTATAACACAACTGATATTTGACCACTTTGACCTATTAAAAGCAGCATTTCCATGTGGCTCACCTTAATTTTTTAGGTGTTATTTTTAAAGCTGTGTTGCCATGATGATTATCAATATCTATGAAAAACAAGTGAGAATCAGTTACAAAACAGGAGGAAAAAGTAACAAACCAATGAGTTTACTTAACACAGAGATATGAGGGGCTCAAGGTTTGGATAAGAGGTAGTAAAAAAAGCTCAGAGGAAGACAAATTGGAAATTGTGCCTTTTGAAGGAAGTAGTATTTCTACCCAAGAGACAGGAGGGATGCAGAACCCTCCAGGCTTAGGAGCAAGAGAAAGGAAGGACCGCGCGGAGGGATGGATTGCTGCTTGACTCCAGAGGGCACGGGGAGGGTTGCTTGAGGATCTGAGATTTGGGGTGCCTGTTCTGCAAAGAGGTCTCAGGAGAATTTTACAAGTGGAATTCCTCTCCGGGTTCATTTATATAGGGGTCCGACCATGTTTCCGTGTCCACTTCTCTTCCTTTTTTAAACAATCACTAAGAACCTATGAAAGGGACTCCAATACAAATAGAGGTTTGCAGAGCCAAGAGCCAGGGATAAGGTCTTTGACCGTATTGTCTTCAGGTTGATACTCCTTTTACAAGTGTGTGTTTCCAAATGTCTATATTTAGGAGTGCTGGAGATTCAGGGAGGGATGGAAAAATTGTAACAACAATCGACATCAAGTGTTGAATAATTGAGGTGAAACAGTAATCATCTCTAATTAGCTGAGGTCAGCATACTGTTTCCTCTCTGTCCAGTCAGCAGCCCCAGAGAAGGGCCTTCCAGGGCTGGGATTGGCCCAGTGGGTCGGGGAAACCCCTCGGTGAGACTCCAGAAGGCCCAAGGGAGCAGGCGGAGAGCGGGAAGGAGGCATCCAGCTTACACCGGAGGCCACTAATGAACCAGCGCTCTCTGGCAGAGCCCTAGTGATTAAAAGCTTCCAGACTGTGTTTCGTGTGGGGAATTAAGCTTTCGGTTGTTTTTGTGAAGTTACTAAATGTGTTGTTCACATTTTAAGTAGGCGAGGGGTATTATTTCCAACTCCACTTAAACACCTTCCCTTTCTTGTTTGCATATATAGTCTATATTTGAATGCAGTGGAGGATTTTAAAATTAAAGTCACAAATGAGATAGCTTTTTATTTAATGGTTACTTAGCAGCCACTCAGTAATGATAGTTATTGGATAGTTATTGGATAGTTAATAGTTATTGGATACCACATTAGGTAGGTGACGGATTTTCCATTAAAATAATTTTCAGTAGTTGTATAATCTTTTTCATTGATGTTCTTTTGCTTACTGCCTTTTCCACTTGGAACTTGTTTTGGGGACATGAAGGCAGACTTCTGTCACTGTTGGTGACCAGGACAGATTTGACTGATCTGAAAGACTAAGGAGGTGTTCTTCCATCTCCTTTTGTTTTCTCTGTAATTCTCCTAAGTGTATTTAACAAAAGACATGAGATACCCTCCAGGAGGAGCTACATTATTCAGTTAAGGAATGTGAGCATCCAATTTTTGGAAGCCCATTTGGGGGTAAGTAGAGTTGCGAGCCCCCCAAAAAAGAATGTCTAATGCTCAGGTGTCCCAGATGAACTTTGCAAGTTTTAAGGCATGGAGTTTGGTCCGTGTTTCCGCATTAGAATGATTCTTAGCATCTGGGAGCTTGATGAACAAACGCTCAGTCGGTTCTTGGAAGAAGAAACGCTTTGTCTGCTGTAGAAAATTAATTCATACCAGATGGAGGGGGGCAGAGGGGGGCAAAGGGGGGGAAATTGAGACAACTGTGATAGCATAATCAGTAAAATAGGTTAAAAAGTGTTAAAAAAAAGAAAAGAAAATTGATTCAATAGTTTGCCAAATTCTTTGAGTTTGCTTGCACTCTACTAGACTTTGGGCATTTACTCAGCCAATGTGTACTGGGTGACTAGTTAGGAAGACCAGTGGCCAACATGACACACATGGAACTGAGCATCTAGTGGGAGAGGTTTTGTACCAAAATAATTTATTACAGTTATTGATAAATGCAAGATATATATCTATATATTCACATACATATGTAAAAGTATACTTTATATAATATGTTTAATAAAGCATCAATATATAATGTTAAAGCGCACTGCTGTGGTACTTGATAAATATAGTTCTTGCCCTCAGGGAGCTTGCAGTCAGTCCAGTAGGAGAAAGAGGAAAGTCATCTAGGAATTACATATCAGCTGATAAGTGCTCTGCTCAAGAAAAAAAAAAAATAAGCATAGGTAGCAGCTGACTTATGCTTTGAAAATAGCATAAAAAAAATAATAAATTTTTATGCAATAGATCCTTGGTCTGGGTGCATGGGGGAAGCAACTGATGTTTCTCTCGTCCTCATTCCCTTCCCCTCTTTCAAAGCAGTCTTCAGAGGGTCAGAAAATGCCTAGGTAGTTTTATTGTGTTATTTTTTTTTAATTTTTAATTTTTTATTATTTTTTTGTATTTTTGTATTTTTTATTTTTAAATCATGTTTATTCTAGTACAGTTGTCTCAGTTTTTCCCCCTTTCCTCCTCCACCCATCCCCCCCCCACCTCCCCTCCCACAGTCAATTCCCACACTGTTGTCCATGTCCATGGGTCATTCATACATGTTCTTTGTCTAGTTCCTTCTCCTTCTTTCCACCATTGTCTTCCTTCCCCATCGCCTCTGGTCACTTTCAGTCTGCTCCATGTTTCCATGCCTGTGGTTTATTATAAAAAGCCTAGATAGTTTTGAATGGCTCTGTGACTTTACTGATGAGGTACTGAGATTATTTTTGTACTTAGCAGAACTTTGATGTCAATAGTCAGGATCCAGCAAAATGTCTGTTTTCACTTTATTAAATTACCGGTATAGGGAGAGGGGGAAGTTCCAAAACTTGACAGCCATCCTGACCTACCTCTTAAGTGGCCAAATCCTTATAAAATAGAAGTGTATTTAGAAGTGTATTTGCCTGGCATGAAACTCAGTTTGTGAACTTTTTATCTTCACAATATCCATAAAAGGGGAGGTTATAAGAAAATTAATAGTGTGATTAATCAAATTTGATATTTATAATCTGAGTCCTCTACCAAGAACAGCTGTGCTAATCACAAGTCATTTTTATCTGTTCATTAAAACAAGACCCTAAGGACTTCAATTTGCCAATGCTTTCTAAAGTAGGTCATGAGCTATATCTAAGTGCAACTGCATTTATTTTTATTTAATTCTACAATTTAGATTCTTTACAAGTTTATTCTGGCCATCTCCTAAATAGACATGGAAATGTCTCCCTATACTATGTTAAAGACTTGAGTTTCTTGGAAGAAATCAGTAAAAGATGAACAGTCTTTCATTGTATAGTATCAAGGGACCACAAAAAGTATTTTACTCTGTAATTTTGGATTTTGATTCATAATAACAAAACTGCAAAAAGGTTTTCAAATCAACCACTGTATTTCCTTACTCATTTGGAGTAGCTGACTTTGCTACTCCACATTTAAAGATTTGTATCAAACCTCCAAGAACTGCTATTATCCTTTGTGATCACATTCATACAGTTTAATATGACAAGGTAAATATCAAAATGTCTGTTCTTCCATTGACTTCACTACCTGCTTTATATTCTCTCGCTTTCAAATAGATTTCTCCTATCACTAAATAGGTGTTTTTGTTTTTACCCAGCTCTGTCGCCCGAGCCTTGTGCTTTTCCCTTTTCAGAGAGTTGAAGATGCTCCCACTCCTGGCTTAAAACTAATAACACAAAATGATATTTCATTATACTAGTTTCAGACTAGACATGGGAAGAAATCGACTGTGCTTGCATATTACAGTCTGAGAAAATAACTAACCCCCGTCCCTAGGAGAATAACTAATTTTCTCCTGAAAACAAAAGGAAAAGGGAAAAATCTGACCTGTGTTTTGATTCCAGGAACCTCTCAAAATATCGCCACCGTGTCATTTCCGCTGCCCCAGGTGACCACGGCTACTATTGAATACTCAGAATGCTGGCAGGCTGAATCTGTTTTTAAATTCTAGCTCATTGAACTGTGTGTGGTTCCTATGAATGCTTTTATTTAGTAGATTTGAGGGTAGAAACTAATTTCTTTTGTTTTTCTTGGACATGTGCAGATTTATTTTTGTTTCTACACCAACTTAGAAGCTGGTAAATCTGCTGAACAAGTGCTGAGAAACACAATCTAAGGGTTGTATGCAGCCAACTAACTTGGTGCAAAGGCTTCTGGTCTCAGTTCAGGGTGCACCATTAGGACGTTGCCTCTTATCAGTTGAGTTGCTTTTCTCAAAGTGTCCAGATAATAGTGGCTTAAAAAAAATAATGGGAGCCCCGATCCACCAATGTGAACCCAAAAGGTTGCAGATTCAGTTCCCAGTCAGGGCACATACCTGGTTTGCAGGTTCCACCTCTGGTCTGGGAGTGTATGATCCTTGGTCTGGGTGCATGGGGGAAGCAACTGATGTTTCTCTCGTCCTCATTCCCTTCCCCTCTTTCAAAAAAAATCAATGAAAAAATGTCCTCTGGAGAGGATAAAAAAAAAAAAGTGTGATTCTCTGTTTGATTTTCTTCCCTTTAGGAAAGTATGTTAGTAAAGTGTATGATTGTCTGATCAACTGTGTTGTATACC